GCCGTACATAATTATGCAAAGGGCATCCTGAAGCCGGGCATTTCCATTGTTGATTATACCAAGAAGGCTACGGTGGAAATGGAGAAGCAACTGGTGAAGATCGGGCTGATCTCCAAAACGGATATTAAAAACCAGGACCCGGAAAACCCGGCTTACCGCAAGTATTTCTATCACGGCATTACCCACCACCTGGGCATTGATGTGCATGATATCGGCACCCGTGTATTACCGATCAAAGAAGGTATGTTGTTTACGGTAGAGCCGGGCATTTATATTGAAGAAGAGCAAATGGGCATCCGTATTGAAAACAATATCTGGATCACCAAAACGGGTCATGTGGATCTGTTCAAGAACATTCCGATCACGGTGGAAGAAATTGAAGCTGCGATGAAGTAAGGCAGTGAGCTTTTCTTAACGAGACGGGGCGGCCAATGGCCGCCCCGTCTCGTTAAGATCATGATAGTCTCTATCGCAACCTGTCCAATGATTTGATCAGCTTTTCATCCTTGCGGATACCCCTTAATGCGAGGATCAGGAAGATGATGCTGAGCACCGGCATCAGCAGCCCAAAATCATACTGCACTTTTAGCGGTGGTGTCTGGTTGCTAAGATCCGTTACACGTAACACGGCAAGCCCTATAAAACCCACACAACCCAGCAGGCTGAGCCATACCAGGCCTTTCTGCCGTTTACGATCACCAAAAAAGAAAATAGTTACCAGCGGCAATACAGTGATGATGGCGGCAATGATGAACAAGGCAAGATTCCCCTGGTCTCTCACGCCTTCATGCACAATGCTGCCACCGGCCACAACGGGCTGGAAATGGTAGAGCTTGGAAATAAATAATAGTCCGTTGATCATTGCTGCGAGAAACAGCCAGACCGATTGTATACGTTGTATCATATCCTGGGTTGCTTAATTGTCTGTTTTAAAAAATTAGCTGATCATGCTTTTGCCAAAGTATTGTTGTACAGCTTCCGGCAGCACAATGCCTTCGGGCGTCTGGTTGTTTTCC